AGATACCGCTTTACCAACACTAGGGTAGCTGAGCTAAAGCAACCAACGGAAAACAACAAATGGTGGGTGGGTGTGGCGCACTCGCAACCCTTGTGTATTGCGGATGAGAATGCAAAATGCACAAACACCGTGGAGAGCATACGGACCCTATATGGACCCAACATTTCTCTCTTAGTATGAAGCTCAAAGACTAGAAAACAACCTGAGCAGGCCCCTAGAGGGAGATCGGTGTTCACGGCAGCAATAGCTAACAAGTGAGGACAATTTGTCCATCAGCAGATATATGGACAAACACAGTGTGATATATCTACAGTTGAATATTTCTGAGCCATAAAGAGAAATCCATGCTACAGCATGGATGAATCTTGAAAATATTATGCTGCATGAAGTAAGTCAATCTCAAAAGGAAAGAAAATGTATTATCTTGTTATTGGGAAATATCAAGAATAGGAAATGTCTAGAAACTAAATTTTATTAGTAGTTACCAGAGGTAGGAAGGAGGGCGGTTGAGGGAGTTATTTTTTAAGAATTGAGATTCTGGTTATGGCGATGGAAAATTTGGCAATAGATATCAGTGATGGTTACACAAAATAATCAATGTAATTGATGTCACCAACAGAAGTGAAGAACTTTGAACTGGATCATGCTAATACATAGACACACACACAGTGTGTGTACGTATTTAAAAAAAAACAAAAACACAATCCGGGATGACAGAGTAGAACCGCTCCTTCATATTTTTTGACTTTTAAATCTTTATGGGAGTAGACATCCACATCTCCATCCTGAGGAGCGACTGGTGGGCTCACACGGCTGACCTTGCAGTTAGCAGTTCCGTCCAGAGCCCACTGCTCCACCAGAATGTGCAATAATAAACTGCACTAATGAAACCGCCCAGAGTTGTTAGGAGAATCAAGTAAGGAAAATCCACATAGGAGCTTAGCACACTGGCTGGCATATAATAAGTGCTCCATACGTGCTTGTTATTACCTTCGTTCTTCTGAGATATACAAAATACTCTTACTTCTCAGGATCTTATAGTCTTGTTGATGCGACGAAAATGTCACAGGCATGTGCAAACATAACAGGGAGCAATGCAAGTCAGTCTATGGTTACTTACGCAGTAACAGGCTCCAGGTACATCGGGTGGAGGAAGAGGCACATGGGTGTGGCCTGGGAGAAGGACCACGGAGGAGGCAAGAGCCTATTGGAAGAGACCTGTGTGCTCCCTCTGCCCAACTCTTAGCAGTGCTTCAGCAGCCATTCTGGGCAATTGAGGATGCCCTCGTCCGTCAGCTCACCCACCCAACACATTACTGATTACCCCCAGACTTTGGGGTCTACGCTGGGGACTAAAGCAGATCACGGCAAGGTCCTTCCCTCCAGGAGCTCAGGCTAGCTAGGGAAGCAGGCATGCATAAAAATATGACAGACAACAAGTATTATATTTGTATCTATTTATACCCCCTAAATAAGCATCTGAACTCAAAGGTGGAATGAGGTGAGTCTGGTAGAATGGGATGGAAGTGTGGATTTGCCTGGTAGCAAGGAGCAACTCAAAAGCTATGAGCTCTTGTCCTAGGGAGTTGGCAAATAAGAGTGGTTCTTTGGGAGGAAGTGGTGGAGTGGGTGGGAGATCAGCTCTGAACAAGAATATTCTGAGGCTGAGATTGGGAAGATGCTTTGTCTCACACTCAGTCTTGGCAACAGGGACTTTTTGAGCCAGGCTAGGAAGTGGAGGCGCAGGCAGGCCTGGCAGGAAGGAGAGTAAGCGCCAGGCATGGGTGACTCAGGGGGAAACTTCCTGCCTGGGATGGAGTCCACAGATGTTTTATAGCCTTAAATAAACTTATATTTTCTTCACTGCTTGAGTCAAAGGCTGCCAGTTAAAGTAACACCGAAAGGAATGGCCCGTCAGCATTGTGAAGGAAGCACAAAGTAGGAGAGGTTGGAGGTTCACCTCTTGATCAGTGACATGACTTTGGCAAGGATGGCAGGGCATGCAGATGCAGAAGGGCTAGTTTATGCGAAGGAAGGTGTGAGGACTAGACAGGACAAGACGTTTGCTCCTCGGCTGTTCAATGAGGTCCTCTGGTTCTGGGATCTGAACAGGAACCTGTGGGCTCTATTTCCCCAAGGCGGGGCCTGTGAACCATCACTCCTAGTGTCTGAGGACTCTGTACGTCCTCTGGTTAATTCTGGTACAACGTCTCATCTTTTACTCAACCCTGTCATCTCTAAAGTCAGAGGGAAATAGGCAGAATTGCTTACTCAGTGTGTGTGTGTGTACTTTCTTTTTACCTTAGCTGTTTCATCTACTACTACTTCCTCTGGCCTGGGAGGATAGTAAGTAAAGTCACCGAGGCAACTGTTAATTATTCAACAAACACTTATTAAGCAGTTTTATTCATTTACTTGTTGGCAACAGCTTTGTTGAGATATATTTTATATGCCATAGAATTCATCTTTTAAAAACATGCAGCTCATTAGCATTTGGCACATTCACCAATGTGCAAAATCAGCACTTCTATGGAAGTTCATACCATTCCTATCATCCCCCAAAGAAGCGTCCTACCCGTTTACCAATATTCTCCATTTCTACCTTCCCCCAGACCCTGACAATCACTGATCTACTTTTTATCTTCATAATCTGCCCGTTTTGAGCATCTCATAGAAATGGAATCACACAGGGTCTAGCCCCTCACTCAACATGAGGTTTGCAGGATTTATCCCTGTTGTTACCTGGGTCGGTCCTCCCGTTGTTTTCCATGATAGCTAGTACCACGTTTTGCTTGTTCACTCACCAGCTGATTGGCCTCTAGGTGGCTTTTGCTTTTGGACTTGGACTAACGCGGCTCTGATTTTGCATGCGTGAGTTTGGGTGAAGGCAGGGTGCAGACGCTCTTGGCTATGTCTGGGGGACACTGTGGGGAAAGACCCTGGCGGAGGCTGCGTGTGAGAGATGCTCAAGACTAGGGTCATTCTCGGCTATTTTGAAGTCAGAAGCAGGAGGAAATCATCTCACTGCCGAAGCAGGGATTGCTTGCGCAATGCGAGCTCTTAGTGGGCAGGTGTAGAGAGGTCAGATTCTAGAGCTTGTAATAGGTTATTTTGCATTTGGAAAATGCTCTGCCCCCTTCACATTCATTCTCTTGGCCCAAGGCATCAAGAAGCCCTGGTGGCGCAGTATGTTAAGGACTGGGCCGCTACCCCCTGGGGCAGGCCACCGAGCACGGTGGTGGGTAGGTAGCACAGTTCTCCACTAGCTTGCTTTGCTATCCCTCTGTGCGCAGTATGGGTCACCTCAGGCCAGCTGCTTGGTGGGTGAAAGATGAGGCAGTTTGCTTCTGTGAAGATTGGCTGCTTCAGAAACTGTAGGGAGCAGTTTTATTCTGCCCTGTTGGGTTGCTGTGAGTCAGAATGCACTTGCCGGCAGTGAGATGGCTTAGGTCTTGTAATAGAGGAAGGATAATAGTGGAACGATGTCCACAGGCACTATTCTGTGACACCATTCAGCCTGGGGAAAAGGGTGGGGTATGGGTGGATCATCCGTGAGAGTGCTTTTCCCCAGCATCGCCATCTCTTCCTGGAAGGAGAGAGAGTAAGAGGATGAGATAGCCATTTGGCTCTGTGGGAGTCCTGCTGGTGTAGTGGTTACATGTTGGGCTGCAACCCTTGAGGTCTGAAGTTCAAAACCACCAGCCTCTCCTCTGAGGGAGAAAGCTTGGGGTTTTTAAAAAGCCCTTGTAGGGGCAGTTCTTCCCTGTCCTATTGGGTCCCTGTGAGTCAGAATCACGTTGATAGCGCGAGCAGGAGTCATTTGGCTCTTTTCCCCCTAGCCCCTCTACCTCTTTTATAAACACAGACGCCTTGGTGGCTCCAAGGTGAAGCACTCCTTTGCTAACAAAAGGTTAGTAGCAGGAACTCACTCCGTGGCCTGGAGGCGGGGAGGGATTTGGCCAGTTGCTCCCATAAAGATGACAGTCTAGGAAATACTTGGGGGCAGTTCTACGCTCCACACCACCTAACCACAGCAGGGTTTCTCCAGGCGACAGGTGAAAAGAGCAAGGCAGCGGGAAGGACAGGTCTCTACTAACTTGCTGTGCCACCGCCCTCTGAGCAGTGGGGTCACCCCAGGTCAGCTGCGGCACAGCCTGTGCGCTCCAGCGCTTACTGATGAGACCCTTCTGAGCTTTTGGCTCAGCCCTGGGGGACTGAGTATTGAGAAGCATGGGCTGAAATTCCCAGAGGAAAGAGGGGCACGAGGAAGACTTCACCAAGTCCTGGAGCATCAAGATAAAACACGAGGATGCTTGGGCCGGCTCTGTTGTTTGTGCATGGATGTGTGGTTTTGGGACTTGTTCCTGCCAAAACCAAGCTCATTTCTGCATATTTGTTTGCTGAATATTAAATACTCCAAAGATTACTCTTCGTTTTCTGTTGACTCTTAGATGAAAATGACTCAGCAGGAGGAACAACGAAACTTGGATGACCTGAATGGCCCCCGAATAAAACTGCAAGGGGCTGCAAAACAAAACACAAAACCTCGTGCAAAAGTTCCACCATCTTTTAATTCTATTTATCCACCAACTCTTGGAAGCCATCTCGTACATGCCCCAAAGCATGTAAAATGTCCTCTCCCCATCTAGGACTGATCCTCAGCACGCAAGCAGCGAATGCCACATGCCCGGACACACACCACAAATGTCTGTCTGCTTCAACTTGATCCAAGGCCCTTTATCTCACTTCCCCTGCCCACTCCGCTCCGGCTTTGCCAGAGCCCCACCCTTTCCTGGAGGGAGGACGATGTGGGTTTAGGTGGAGGGTTTGGGGCTGTAGACCAGAGCTTCTTTTCCAGCAGGGCAGGTCCTTCCTCGTTGCTCAATCACACGCTCAGTGTGAAGACTCCCGAGAGAAATTTGGGGATTTGTATTTTTCAGCAAACTGGGGCTTACCTCAGATTGTCCGCCAGACTTTCAACCTTGAAGGATGTTCTGTCTGACAAGAGAGGCTGCCTGCCGAAGTAGGTGGGCCCTGCCTTGTGCGTCAGCCGTGTTCCTGGAAAGCTGGGTATAAACTGGATTTTGGAATATTTAGTCATATTTTGAATATATTGGGAAGATTTCCTATTCAGAGGAATCCAGCACAGAATCTTTTTTGTAAAGTGAAGAATTATTTTGTCATGTGGATAATCAATGATTTATGAGTTTGGTAAGTAAAGGGACCATTTTTGTATGCCAAATGCTATTTTAAATGTGCTGTGTGGGAACTTGCTATTCTAAGGTGCCTGGCATTGAATCCTTTGGTAAAGACATATTTTGTGATATGGATAAACATGTCGTGATTTGTGAGTTTGGTAAGTCCCGACATTCCTTGAAGTGGGATGAACCTGTAGTTCTGCTTCAGACAAAAGATGTTTCTCTGTTAATGTGCAGACTTGGGTAAGAAGACAGCCGTCTGTGAATTACAGACTTTCTAAAGGGGTCTGGGAGGGCCAGAACGGCTCAAACTTTCCATTCTGTTATGGTCAAAGGTCCCAGGAGTGGCCTGTCCTGCTGATTTTCCATATCATCATGGGGGTGACAATGATGGTGCTGTTTTTCCGAATAAATGAGTAGATTACTATGGCTACATTTATGCAAGGGTTTCTCTTTACATCCAAATCAATCTTCCAATCATTCATCCATCCACCCACCCACCTACCCACCTACGTGTCGCTATAGAACAGAATACACACTCTATTCATATATGAAGTGTGTATTTAGTTCTACAGCATAAATTAAGCTAGGGTTTTGTTTCCACCAGTCTGGAGGGCTGGGCCATGCTTCAAGATTCTGGGGAGGTGAAGCTACGTGAGAGACCTAAGCCCTGCGAGCCTTTTCTTACTCAGCAGCTCAAAGGTCATTTCCGCACTGGTCTTGATCACCATTTGCCATCCTATTTGAGGAATTGAGTGAAGCGTGTTACTAGGTCTGACTTTTCCAGCTAGCTGGGGAAGAAGACAGTGGTCTGCTTGCAAGGTGTGGTTTATTTAGGATTGCAGGAGACTTCGGAAGGACAAGGAACTAGTCCTACTGTGTGAACCCTCCATGGAATGGGACAGTGTTGGGTAGAATGTGCTGATGACTTGGCTTCTACCATGATGTCGGGCTGGCTATGATTCAGAGAGAGGATTTGGGAAGTTCACCTGAGTTCCTGTTATTATGTCTCACAGAGGTAATTTGCAAGAAGGTTGATGTTCCAGACTGCTTTTCTCCTTTATGGGGAGGTGCTGATTTCTAATGGAAGTGCTGACCTCCCATCTGCCTGGCCTTTTCTTTTACTTCCTCGCTTCCTGACGGTTTTGATCCATGGTTCATCCAGGTGCTGTGGTGGGTGGTCCTGAGAGGAGAGTCCACTCTCCCATGTCAGATCTGGGAGGGAGATCCTGGGCCATGGTTTCATTCAGAGACAATTTGAAGTCTTGATCCAGTGTTTTGGCAGAATGTTGATGGTGAAGAGGAAATTGTGTTCGTTATTACGAAGGAGTTATTGTCTCAGAGCCAAGGGCTCAAGTAGAAAGCGTATATTTTGAGAATGATAATGACAACAAATGTGCACATGTGCTGGACACAATGGATGGATGTATGGATTGTCAGAAGCATGGTATGAGCCCCCAATAAAATGATTTTAAAAAAGTAAAATAAAACAAGGAAGAGAATCAAAACAAAACAAAACAAAACTAGAAGCATTCCCCTAGACAACATCCATATCTCAACTTTTGTCTGTTTACAGTGTCCTTCTCAACTCGAGGGACTCACTTCGTCTCCTTTCAGGGGACCCTATGCTTCATTTAACTTGTGCCTTACTCTTAAGAATAAAAAAGCCACATATGTGTCAATGTTCTTGGAAAATCTTGGTCTCTGGGAGAAGAAATATTGGCCTTTGAGTCAGAGGACTAGAATCAAGTGTCTAACTAGTCCTCTGTGTCTTTCTCTGCCTCGTTCTAGTTTTGTGACCTAGGAAGATTAGTAGTTAATCTCATTTCTGATACAGTGAGATAAGCAAGATTCCTGATCTCAAATGATTCATGGCCTGGTTGAGAGACAGACAAAGAAGCCAAATTATACCAACCCCCCCTCCATGAAAACCATTCTGACTCCTAGCAACCCCAGCAGGAGAGGGTAGAAGTGCCCCGAAGGATCTCTGAGCCTGTACATCTTTATGGCACCTTCGCCCTTGGAGCAGCTGGTAGGTGTGACCTGCTGACCTTGAGCTAACCAACTGCATTACCAGGGCTCATTATAAATAAAGAAATGAACTATAATTCATCATGATGAATGAGAGCCCACAACCAGCTAAGATAAATCTACCCAGATCATGGGTGAATGGGTTAAGCTTTACTTACCAACCCAATAACAGAGCGATGCAATCATATATATTTTTTCCCACTGCCACAGACTCATAGGACAGAGTAGGACAGGGTAGAATTGCCCCTGTGTAGAATTGCCCCTGTGGGTTTCTGAAGCTATAACTTTTTCTGAGAGTAGAAAATCTCATCTTTCTCCCTCAGAGCCATTGGTAGTTTTGAACTACTGACCTTGTAGTTACCAGTGCCACTTGTAACCCACTACACTACCAGGGCCCTTGGTACAATCACTCTACACAGGGGAAAATGTGAGGCTCAATAATATAATGCCTTTGAAAGATCTGTTGTTGCTGTTGATAGCTGACTCAGCAATCCTGTGCACAACAGAAGGAGACGCTGGCAGACCCTATGCCATTGTCACCACCGTGAAGTTTGACCTGATTGTTGCGGCCATTGGGTCGACCCACTTCATCAAGGGTCTTCCTCTTCCTTTGCTTCCCCGCGTGTGAAGGAGTAGTAAATAACATTGAGTACCTACATAAATGACTCATAATCCTTCAGCATGGGAGATTTGTCTGTTTTCTTATTTATTTATTCAGTTATTTACAGATATCACTATGAGTCAGGGATATTTATTCTATTCTTGGGCTTATAATCTAATACTGCTTTGTTTATCGTTCTATTGCTCAATTTATTTCCGTTTTGGTCCTAGGGAACTTGTCCAGTTGGCTCTTGTATCCATTTTACATACCTTACATTTTGTTTATTTATTTAATATTTGTATCACCACAATATGATCCAGGTTCATCTTATAAATTCCTGTCCCAGCCATCGAGTCAGTCACTTCTCCAATGAGTGCTGGGACTTGGAGAGTTGGAGATGGCTTTAGAAACCAACATCTGGGAACTGGAGTGTTTGTTGCTGCTGCGGTGTTGCTTCAGGGGCCTGTTAGCTATCAGAACAAGTAGATAGATGTGTGTATACTAACCCATGTATATAACATAGCGAGACATAAAAATACATACATAAGTATTTCTATATGTAATAATCTCTATCTCTATTAAGCTAAACACGAGTTCATATTGATGTTTACAATTCTCATTATCGATTATTCTGGGGAAACTTTTAAAAATACTGTCTCCCACGTACCACTCCAGAGCTACCAAATCAGGGTAAGTAATGATTGTCTTTTGAAAGACAATCAGATTCTAATCACTGAAAAATTGTTTGGTTTAACATTAGAATCAATTCAAAATTATTATAGCATCCATTAAGATCATAAATTTGTGCTTAACTTATCACAATTTGGGTATTTATCTTAGTAAAACTTTGTCACCTGAGTATGGGTCTGTTAATTTATACTCTAGGAGTCTATTATTTGATTGAGTTTGAAATTCTTATATTGGATGAGACTAGCTAGAGGCCCCATTTAGCTTTCTTGTCCAGGATTTGAAGTTCTACATATAGAAAGAAGCGCTTCAAGAACACACAATTAACTGTGAAAATCTTGTTTGCTCATATTGGTGGTATCTGCCTCACCAGTTCCTCTCTTCCTGTCTCTGGCGCTCTGCAGGCTCCCGTTCCTGCACCATCCTCTGAGATGACCCCATCTCCCAGAATGCCAGTGGTGCTGCTCCTGCTGCTGCCCCTTTTGAGTTCTGCAAAAGCACAGGTTAATCCAGGTAACACAGCCGCGGCTCCGTCTTCTCTTAGAACAGCAACTACATGCTCGAGTACACCTTGCTAAATGCCCTACTGATGGGGTCCAAGAGTCCACGTCTTAAAACCTTTTTGGAAACCATGGCTAATGCCAGGAATGAAAATGAATGTATTTTCTATCTATCACCTACTGACTATTGAAGAAGGACTTCTAACACGGATTAGAATAGAGGATTAAAAAAATAACAGCAATAAGAGGTGGCACACTGGGAAAGAAGCAATAATTGGGTTCTGTTTGTTCTGGGAAAATGAGAGAATGTTTAGATACATTAGAGAGCTTCTATAGATTGCTTGCTTTTCCAGTTGTTTCTACTGACTTAGGGCTCACTTTTATTTGGAAGTCTTATTATTCTTTTGCCTTTCTGGTCTTGTGGGACTTCAAAAATTGGTTTTCTATAGCATGTGACCATGCTTTAAAAAAATGTGTTAAAAGGAATTTTTAGGCCCATTAAAAATAAACAATACCTTACATTAGTTTTAAAAATCTAAATTGGAAGGGGGGTGTAGAAAGGGGTAATTGATCACAGGGAGCTACATATAACCTCCTCTCTGGGGGATGGGCAACAGAGGGGTAGGTGAAGGGAGAAGCCAGGCAGTGTAATATAAGATATAATAATAATTTATAAATTATCAAGGGTGCATGGGGGAGGGGGGAGGGAGGGAAGGGGAAAAAAGGAAAATGCGCTGATTCCGGGAACCCAAGAGGCAAGCGAATTTTGGGAATGATGAGGGCAACAAATGTATAGATGTGCTTTACACAATTGATCTATGTATTGTGATGAATTTTATGAGCCTCAATAAATTGATTTAAAAAAAAAACTAAATTGAAATACAGAGTTGTATCACCTGTCTATTACCATATTAATTCTTCTTAATACGATCTTCAAAACCTTACCCTTTAAAGGAATAGTTTACTTTGCTCAGGAGCCTGCAGGTGGGTGATTTAGACAGATTAGTGATTCAGACAGTTTGGGTCTGGTCGTGGTTTACTCACATGTCTGGGGATAAGTTGGCTCTTAGCTCATCGTGGATGACCTTGGTGCTGATGACTGAGACAGTTTAGCTGTACTCTATTTTATCTTCCGGAAAAATAGCCTGGGTATCCTCCCCTGGAAATTGCAGAGACAAGAGTAGAAGCAGAAAAACACAAGTCTTTTTAAAGTTTCTACTTGCATGTTGTTTACTAAGGTCTCATTGGTCAAAGCAAGTCAAATGGCCAAGTCCAGTGTCAAAGCTGTGAGTTGTTAGCCTGACAGATGTTGGATTTTAAGTAAAATTTATCTTGCCAACACAAAATCAGAGAACATTGTATCTGGCCTGGTCATATTGTGCATACATTCAACTTAAGTACTGTTAAAAATCAACAACTCAGAACACCATTGACATGAACAGGTTTGATAGACAAATTGCCTAGTAAATGAGTGTTTCAGCCAATCAGGAGTCTTAAAGTGTCCATATACATTATTTGGAACTTTTGAACAACATTTCTGATTTGTTGGCTTTTTAAAACCTTTGTCTTGTGAATTAGATGAAGGTTCACAGCGCAGATCAGTTTTCCATTCAGAAAGTCACACGCATTTTGTTTCATGTTCTTGATTGCAGTGTCCACAAAGTAGTATCACTTATCTCACTTCCTCCCTGCGTTTCCTGCTTCCATTCCTCCTTTTATCCTAACCCTTCTGAACTTTGTCCTTGGGTAAATGCTGCCCTTTTGATCTCACCTGGTTAATTATTCTAAGTTCTACTTATCCCACTAGTGTTATTGTTCACATTACAGACCTGTCTGTTGTTTCTTTCAAAATTGAGCCAGGAGAATGTGTTCATTTCCTGAAGGGTAATAATGGTAATATTGCTAAATAGAAGACAATCACAGGACCAGCGAGACTTGATTATATGGCTCCTGATGTTTGAAAATTAATATGTTTATTAATTTGTGTTATTTGCTAAAATAAGTTTTATGTGAAACTTAATGAATTATGAAACCAACAGCATGTACTCACTTGTGTCTCTGTATCACATTTTGGTAATTCTCCTAATGTTTCAAATTTCATAATGTTACTGCACATTAATAGACGACAATTTAGAGTACGTATAACTTTTATATGTAACAGGAAACAGCAACAAAAAATTATATGACTCTTATTGTGATATTCGCTCTCTTGTATGATGACCTGGAACCAAACCCACAGTATCACCAAGGTGTGAAAGACTCTGCTGCTAAAGGTTAATTTGCAGCCTCAGACACCCTCTACAGAGTCACTATGAGTCAGCATACACTCCATGACAGTGACTTTTAAAAAAATTGTTTATTTTGTTTTCTGTTGCATGTATGTTTTCATTATGTTAGTAGTGGCGTGTTCATGCCAGGTATTAGAGTCCCTAAAGTTGTTTTTGTTTTAAAATCATTTTACTGGGGATTCTTACAGCTTTATAACATTGCAGGCATCAATTGTTTCAAGCATATTTGTACATATGTTTCCATCATAATTTTCTAAACAATTACTTTCTAATTGAGCCCTTGGTATCAGCTCCTGGGCCGGTACATTTGTCCCTCCTTTTTCATTAATGGTCGAGGGTTTACATATAGCTCTTTAATTCATTTTAAGTTCATTTTTGTATATGAAGTCAGATATAGAGTCTGTTCTTTTCTTCTGCAAATGGAAATCCAATTTGCCATCATCAGTTATTGAAGAGATTATCTCTTCCCCATTTAATGTATTTTACCCCTTTGTCAAAAATCACTTGTGTGTGGGTGGATGGCTTTGTTTCTGAGTTCTACATTCTGTTCCGTTGGTCTGCATATCTACTGTACCACTACTAGGCTCTTTTGGCTGTGGAGCAGGTTTTGAGATTGGGAAGTGAGTGGCCTCCTACTTTGTTCTTCTTTAGTGGTGCGTTACTTGTCCTGGGCCTTGTTCCTTTCCACATAAAGTTGGTGATTCATTTTTTTCCATGTCTTTAAAGACTGGTGATAGCATCTGGATTAGAATTGAATTATATGTATAGATCACTTTGGGTAGTATTAACATTGTCATAACATTAAGTCTCCCTATCCATGAACATGGAACCTTCTTCCATTTACATAGATCTCTTTTGGTTTCTCATAGTAGTGCTTTGTAGTGTTCTTTGTACAAGTGTTTAGTTGCTCTGATTAGGAGTACATAGATTTTTAGCAGTGTTCAATAGGCTGACCTTTTCTGTTGCAGGTAAGAGAACTCTTTATGTTTTTCATTATGCAAAACTTGTACATTTTTTCCAGTATCAAGTTTAGAACCTAATTCTTAAGATTGTTATCATTGTTGTTCGTTGCCCTTGAGTCAATTCCAGCTCATAGCAATTTGTTGTGTGCAGAGTAGAACTATTCCACAGGGGTTTCAAAGCTGTGACCTTTTGGAAACAGATTACCATGCCTGACTTTAAAGGCACTTCCATGTGGGTATGAACCACACGCTTTACAAGTAGTACTTGAGCGCTTAACTGCTCGTGCCACCCAGGGTACCCGTAGTCAGAGAAGAAGGGCACCATGAGAGTGCACAGTAAAGGCCTGGATGAAGAAAAGGGAAAGAACTGGAGTCTTTCTTTCTTTTTCTTTTCTTTCATTTTTCCAGAGATATAAATATAAAATAGCATACATACAATATGTGTTCACTTTGATGAGTTTTGCAAACTGAGCATGTCCATATAAGTAGTACCCCGATTAAGAAACAACATTTTACCAGCAATTCAGAAGTCCCAACTTTTCCTCCCTTCCAGCACTGCCTCGCACAAACTTTTCATAACAGATTAGTTTTGCTCATTTTTGTATTTTATATAAATAGAATTATGTGGGGACTCCAAAAGTTCACAGAAAAATGGTATTAAAAGATTATGAATTTCCCCCCCAGACATTTGGATCCCTTTGTATATTACGTATAGGCATTCTTTTGTGTCTGCCTTTTCTCACTCAACACTTTGTTGATGATATGTTCATCTATATTGTGCAAGTAATGGTCAACCATTTATCTTCACTGTCATACAATATTACTTGTATAAATTTTTTTAAAGTTTATTTATTTATTTAATGTGCATGGTGTGATAGGTAGGTTTATTGTGCCAACCCGGCCAATGGGAACATGTGGGATTAATCAAGTCACAGTTTGATTGGAGGGCAAAGAGATAAATGACTCTGCAAGGCCCGCCCCTTCTCTTTTGTCCTCTGGTGATAGGAAGGTGCTGGAGTGTGTGTGTTGTTGCTACTTTAGCTAGTTCTCTGCCTCAACCTGTGACCCATGGATCTTGTCACTAGAGCTTGAGGCTCCTTCGGGACCTGCTTCACCATGCTGCTGGTGCGTACATCGCTTGAGCTAGAGGCTGGTGGATCTTCCCACCTTGCATTGCTTGCATTCGATATCCTATATAGGCATGCTTAGCTAAGCTCCTGAGCTACTGACTGTTGGTGACCCACCCTGCTGCTTGCTGCCTGTGGGCAGATTCTGTTTGCCTTGCCCCAGGGAAGACTCTGCTGTCTGCTTCCTTCTTGGCCTTAGACCCAGCAGCCCACATGAGTTGAAGGACTTCCAGTATATTCAGTGTTCCACAGAAGTGAGTTAAACTTACCCTCTGTACTGCTGTGTACACTAATTAGCTGTTATATTCTTTCTTGCTGTATAAATCTATCTATCTATCTATCTATCTATCTATCTATCTATCTATCTATCTATCCATCTATCTAGCTATCTATCAATAATTATAAGTGTCCTAATTTCATTTCTCTAAAGAACTCTGCATAACACAGATAGGAATTTGGATAATTTCCAGTTGGCAGCTATTAAGAACTGAGCTCCTATTATAAGCTTTGTACAGGTCTTTTGGGTAGAGACATATAACCGATTCACTTGGATCAATAAGGGGGCTTCAAAAAGTTCATGAAAACAATTCCATGATTTTTTAATTCCACATTTCCATGAACTTTTTGAAGCCCATT